GGTGTCATTTTCATTTACTTCTTCGTCACTACTCTCATGATCAGTGGAATCATCATCTTCTAGAAACCCTGTATATTTTATGAATTGCAAATTGCCTTCATTGTCATAGATTCTCACTGCAGGGTGAGGGATGGGAATCTCATTGGTTATGCACTCCTTCCAACAATCTTTTAAGTATTTCTCTCCAGACTTGAGTGTATGAGTACGAAAGTGATGAAGTGGTGGGCCATCATCCTGGCTTTCCTTTTCATCAGGACCATCTAGGAATTCAACACCTGCCATGATATGATGCCACCAGGTGCCTTCACCGCAATGGAGTAAATCAGCTATTTTTTCAAGATGTGCTTGAAATGCATGTGGGTACTTAAGTATGATTCTGTGTGGTATGATGGTGTTTTGTGCTTTAGGCAAACAGCATACCAGCTTCCAAAGTCTACACTCTTGTTCTTTCACTGTGTCTCGCTGCTTGCTCTCCTCAGACTTAACCTCAGCTTGCATTCTAATGATTCCAGGGGTTATGAGTTCACCTGGTCTTCTGCTTGATGTTGCTGCAGAGATACTTGAAAAGGCATTGAAGTGACGTTCTTGCTGCTCGGTGTTTGTTGACCTAAGACAGACAATACAGTGTTGGATGGGAGCATGTACAATCAAAGAATGAAAGTACCGCCGATAAACTTCTTCTCAGTGAGAACGTTTGGCCTCCCAATGACCTCCTCACAGGCAATGGCATGAAGAAAGGTCTGATTGTGGAGTCTTAAAATGCTTTTTTGACAGCGCTTCTCTGGCCTTGAATATAGAATGCTTGATATTTCTGTCATGGTGTCTGCACCTTATCACTCACAAGTCCTTTTGAATAATGAATATATGATTATGTAGACATCATATGGTGCTAGGGTTACTTGATAGCCTTTTTATTTATATACTTTATATAGATATAATCAAATCATTTTTCTTTTTTACTTACTTTTGATACTGCCTAATGAATTTTCAATTCATAATAAATTTTTTTCTCTTTTGAACTTGTTATTCAGTGAGAGGATCAGGAAAGTCACTGTATTAATGTAAGTATTTTCTGTTCTAAAAGTTTGTTATATTTGTCACAAGCTTTCTGAAAATGATGATAATATTATAATCATAATAATGACTGCATGAAATTGTTAATTTTTTTTTAAAATAACCTTCATTAAGAACTTCACAAACAGTACTATTCATTACATATTTACATTACAGTGATAACAAAAGTACAAATTAAAGAAGGACAAGGGGAAAAGAGTAAATTTTATTTTGAAAATAATTTTCATGTGTGTACCTGTTCATAACAGTAGATGGCTGTGTTGAGGAAGACTGCATTAGAATAAAATATTATATCCATGTACAATAAAGTTGTTGCAAACCTCTAAGTTGTTTGGAAAGCACAATAGCCATCTCTCGATAGTCAGAACCACAAAGTTGCTCTTTAGTTTGTGCTACCAGCTCGATAGTCTTTTCGCATAGCTGTTTCTCTTCTTGAGAAAGGTGGTGCTTTAACTCAGATACCACATTGCAGATGTGTTCTTTCATGTCATGTAGTGGCTCTGTTGGAAGAACTTCATACATACCTGAAAAGAAAAAATTGAAGACAGACAAAAAAAAATAATGATGGTGAATAGTTACTGAAAGACATATAGTAATATTGTGACAAAGTATTTGGTCAAAATTTCATAGCGATGTGCAGAAAAAACAACAACTGGCAAATTAAACGTGAAAGAATTTGTTTTTTTTTTATGAATTTTTTTTAAATAAAAAAATGGCAATTTTGATTGAAAAAATTGAACCATTCTTAAGAAGGCACAGTTTTCAGACTGAGATGTAGAGATATGGCAAAATGTTGCAAGGAAGCTAATTGTTGAACTTCACTGTTGAAATCTCATTGTTCTAGAAACATTGTGATAGTAGCAAAAATATTATTCTTTACCCAAGTTGATATCGTGCATGTTCTTATCCTTCTCATTGATTAGCAAAGTTGGCACTCTTTGCACACCCTTCAGGTGCTCTTTCAGGCTTGTCTGTAAATTTTTCTTCAATCGTTCATCTTTCAATCCCCTTGCTACACACTCATTTCTCAACTCCTCCACAATTGCTGCTGTGGTCCATCACCGTGAAAGAAACGCATCACATCATGTACATGTGATCCCTTCCTTGTAGTTAAGTTGTTTTGTAGCTGCTCTAAACATTCTCGCCTTGTGTCAACGTAGGCCACTTCCTTTGCAGTGCACCTTCCAAGGATTTATATGTGAGGCCTTTCTACCAGCGCTGGGACATCAATGTCACTGTGCCCTTTTTCTCTCATTTCTGCAGAGGAATAGTAAAGTGCCGGATCATAAAGACACTAAATAAGATACAGGAGATGGCCATGGTTTAGAATTGTTGAGCCTTTCCCCCATATCATCAGATGTCTAGTTCTTTCAAATATTATAAGTCGTTCTCTTCTTTGACCTGGAGTATCCCTGAGATGGCCCTCATCTCCAAGCACTCTTAGCCGCTGAGATATCTGATCATCACTCATTTGTGCATAGTCATCATTGATATGGTCTCGAACCACTCCAAGTTGCTCACATCTGTTTAGTTCTCTTTTTCTTATTTCTGTTAAGGGTATCTTCCTTCCAGAAACTGTAAACTCGACCTCCTTTAATGTTCCTTCGCTGGTAAGGACTAACTTCTTGTACTGTTTTGGAACCACAAGCTCACCAATGGTGTATTCTACTGCCTCAAGTTTCACCTAAAATTGATTTTAAAATCATCGTACTTTCACATAGTTGTAAGTTAAGGTTGGTTATAGTCAGCATGGTATAGAAATGTTTGTGGTTAATATGAATACTGAAAAAAGAGGGATTACCCCTTAGCTGTCATTAAGCACACTTGTCAGTTGTCTCTGCTTTGTACGCTTTTCAGCAAGTTGAGTGAATTAAATGGACTAGTTGCGTAAAGGACCCTGTTGGAATCTGTTTCAGGAAGTTTTATGGAGGCATGAGCATGAAAAACAATGGTTTTTCTTTACTTTGTTCTCTCTTTACTTTATTCAACCAGCTACCTAAGTTTATTGTTTTATTGGTGTTTGCTTTTGCCAAATAATTTATTATTTTGTATTTTGGTGTTTTATTGACTATTGGTAGTGGTGGTGTTTGAGTTTGGAACGAACCTTTAGAGTTTCTTTAATATCTTTATTTGTTCTTGGGACAGGCACAGTTATCTGTCCTCCAGCCATTCAGATTAGTTGCCGCCTTGGATTTCTTTTGCTGTGGTGTAATGCTTGAAATCACTCTAGATCGACTCCATGGCTCTCAAGATATTCCTTGACCACCATGTTGCCCAACCTTGTATCTGTGAGACCGTATCTTCTTGCAAGGTCTGAATAATTAATCTAGGTGCATGCAATATAAAATCAGGTGTTAAATTGACTTGATTTTATAAAAAGAACTTTTTTGATGGTAAATAATATGATATTAATTTTGTACAATAGTTTCAACTGAGGGTACTTCATCAGGGACAGTTGCTCCTATAGTTGCAACGTTTTGAGGATTTACTATTTTTTTAACTTGTAATATTTGACATGATTAAAGTTGCACTTATGGTTTCCCTTGTCAAAGTGGCCCTGATAGCAAATTAACTGAGAGGGGAATCCCAGATTAAGGAAATTCAGCGTGACAGTGTTGATGCACAGTGCATTGTTAAAAGCAAAATGACAAATTATGTCATTGGCATCATGTGGAGGATTGAATGTTTTTTTTTTTTAAATATCTTCAAAAGTTTATCATGTGTCCTGAATAGGGTATCTTACATGTCTCTCTTTATTATTATTTTTAATTGTGCATTAGAAAATTGATATCCCCTGTGAACTGTATGTTTCTTCACCTTTTCATTATCCTTCATGTTTTTTACTTCTTTCAGGAGGTTTTCTTTGTTAAACTAAATCTGGTTTGGTTGTGGAGAGTTTCTGAATTTCCCACCACAAATTGAGAATCTTTATTCAAGCTTTGAGTTTATATAAGGGCATTTTGATATGCTTTTTATCTTTCCGCTCAGAATCAAATGGAGGCTAAGCCGTTTCGTCTGTAAATTTGTGTGAAAGAAGGGAAATCTGCTCTAAAATTGATGATGATGGGAATTTAACCCTCATTCTGACTGAATTCCTACAATTTATTGTAATGACTATAGTTTATGCACTTTATTTCAAGCTTTTTATGGCAGTAAGTGGTGGGAAATCAGTCATAAACAGAGATATATATTTTGGCGCTTAAAGTAACGGATTTTGTGAGTATAAAATGTCATTTTGCCTTCTTGTAAACCGAGGTGGTAAAACAGGTAGAGGCACGTGTCTTGGCAAATTTTTAGCGAAAATGAGCGATTTTTAACAAAGTTATGAGTAAATTTCTTTAAAATGGTGAAATTAATTAGGGGACCCAGGCCTTAATCTACCTGAGTTTTCTCTGCTAGGGGACGACTGTTTGGGAGCATGACTTCTTCATCTTTCCACAGGAGACCAGTTTCATAATGGCCAAGGTCAGCTCGAAAGTTTGTAGTTTCTTCTAAAAGCTTGAGAGCTCTTTCGTCCTCTGTAGATCTTGGAACGTCACGATTGAACTTGGTGCCAAATGACTCTGTCTTCCACCAGTTTTCAACTTCCTCATTCAAGGTGGTATCTGGAGTAACACGGTGTCCAACAAAGCCTACACTTGTTCTGGGGGAAGGAACTCCTCCCGCTAAACCAGCAATCATCCGTCCAAAGTCAGTTTGCACAGCATATGGTTGGCCCTTTGGTCCACATCTGTGTTCATGTTGAATCATGGCTTCTGTAACTTGCACTCCAATAAGTAGGCCTATCTGATCAGAAGACACAGCAGGGATGTCTAAATCTTCAAGGTGTCTCCAGGTTCTTCTAACGTTTTCTTTGACAAGTCTCTGTGGAGGGACATTTAATTTGGGAACTGTCCACACAGGATGGATGTGAACAGGCATGTTTACAGCTTGTTTCCCTGTCGGTGTCACAAGAAGATTCACTGCTCCAGAGCACTGCGGAGTTCCATTATTTTCAATGTTTCCCAGGCAAAGTAGTCGCTCCGGTCCTTTGAGATTCAGCTTGTTTGCAATGTCTCTTCTTATCAAGGTGTCTGAGCTGCCGTCATCCAGAATAGCAAACGTTTCGATAGTGGCCACCCTGTTTTCACCTTGTATTTGGACCGGGACAACTTGGAAATAAACCA